TATGCTCGAAAACACGCCATATGCATAGTTTCCAGTGCATAGCCGTTCCGACCCTATCGCACATCATTTTATTCATTTGGGAGACAGCTTGCTATAGTCACATATTATGTGGTTTACCGTTTCATCGCTTTCATTTGAAGCGGCGATATACACCTGCATTGATGAGATTCCACAATTTTCTTTTAAATGTAATTTGTTCTGATGTACTTAGTCTGAGATACAGCAATATGGCAACCATTTTCTCATCATCTGACATATTTCAATAACAAGCAATTATATAAAAACTAGCTTAAAATCATCCCTATCGGGAGTCATTTAAGCTAGCTCCTTCGGAAAGCACTTGATTGGGCCTTTGAGAGTCCCTAAGTCTTTGCATATTCTCAGAATTGGAAGATCTCCTGGCTGTCGTTTGATCTAGGTTTTCATTTGCACGGGGCTTTCTTTTCCACGCTGCAGCCTTGGTTCTTTTCATTGCAATCTGGTCCTCTGTTGGCGGAGATTTCGTTTTGAGAGGCATAATGCTGCCGGATAAATAATAAATTACAGAAAAACTTAAAATTGATCGCTGCATTTAAGTATTGCATTAATATTTAAGCCCTCCTTTAAAAAGATCAACACTAATTCTTCTGTCGCCACTTAATTTAAAGATAATTTGATGTGCGTACGTCCTTTCTTTCCGTACAAGCGATTATTTTTATTTCCTGGGTGACTTTCGTTGGATTTCGCAATTAATTTCAATTATTCTCAAATTCATATCCAAGTTATAAATATTGTTATCGAACAAAAAAATTCGTTGCAAAGAATCACATAAAAATCGCCGAAAAGAATTGCAGTAATGAGAACTGGGAATCCGTAACATGAGCTATTGAAAGTTAGAGAGTTGTGTCCCTTTAATTGAAAAATTGTGACACAGTAACACACTGATTATAGCATTTATTATACAAAATAAGGATTTAGGAGTCGTGCCCATCGTAGTTTGCGCACTTGAAACTATTTTATAAAAAAATGGAATAGATATTGTGCAGGTTGGAAATTCGAGGAAATGTTAAGACACTGTAAATTAGGACGTTGTTACGAGAATACGGGGAAGGGTGTCGAAGATTTTAGGAGACTTAGCCAGGTGAAGTTCCTAAATTCTTGAGGATTTATTTGTATTATATGATAAATATGCCATATGAATTTAGGCACATACTGTGGAACAATGGAGTGTAACTTACTCTTTTTAAGTAGGTACACATCTACTTATCATCTCCCAGTTGCGTCTCTGTCTGGGCAGATGAGCACTCATGGGCGACAAAGGACAGAGTCGCAACTGAAGAAAATTATACTGAGAGGTGCCAGCCCTGGGGAACAGCTGCCCGAGGCCGCGCCTTCTCATTGCACTAGAGAGGAGGATCGGTGCACGCACCGAGGCCAGCGCAACCGACAGTTGCGTGGGCTCGGGGAAGTTTTGATACTTTCCCGGGTGTACGCGTTCGGGATCTCCACATTAAACCGACCTTGTGTCACAACCTGTCCTCATGCGGGGGTGAGTAAATATCTACTGTGGAACAATGAATAGGAGTCGGAGAGCCGAGTTCGAATTCCAGTCGAATCCTTTACCTTCACTTACATGCTTTTACCCTTGGTATGAATCCTCTTCTTCTCTCCCCCACCCCGAAGCTATGAGTAATTAGCAGGGCAGAACGGGTTCTATATCCTTGGAGGGCAACTTTAACGAAGAATGAAATTGAAACCTACTGCGAGAAAAAAAAATACCTCGTCAGTCATGTATCGAAAGATACATGATCGACTAAGCGTGTATCATGCATGGCACATAACTGACTGAATATATATTTTAAGTATAGAATATTCAAAATAACGTATTTGATGATTTTAAATTTTATTTTGTTACTAGAAGATTGTCTATAGTTATATATTATTTATATACATAAGCAAGAATCTAGTTACGCTCCATCATCGCCTATCTAAACCCTGAACTACCACTAATCAAGATGTGCCTTGAATGACTGTTGGGCCTCAAACTTGCACCTGACCTCAAGTGGATATTGTGCATACTATCCCTTGCTAAGGATGCAGTAAAATGGCCGCCCCACTGTAGCGCTCTAATAAGTACCTGGTACCTCCTGCTATCCTCTGACTTTACAAGAGCCAAACCAGGCCAAAAATGGAGTGCTGTTGTCATATCTAGGAAGGAGCTGACAATATGTCACTCTCCACCCTTGATAGAGTTCAAAAGCGTTTAGGAGACCAAACGGGTGACGAATTATTCTCCAGCCTTCAAACCCTATCCCACAGGCGGGATTTGGCAAGCCTCTCGCTGTTCTACCGCTGTTTCAACGAAAGTGTTCGGACGAACTATATTCCCTGATCCCACCAAGGAAACAAGGCAAATCTTCATGGCAAGAACACCCAACGTCACTTACGTAGTAGCAAACCACCCATATTTCCTCAATATTCAATCAGTGAGAAACAAGTTCCACTTGAGCAGCATCTTCCCTCTAACCTTTGCCCTGTGGAATCGATCCCCAACATGATGTTTGCCTCATCGCTACAATCTTAACCAATTCAAATCTAGGGTTAATTGTTATCTCACTCAACTATACACAAAAATGGCCTCTATTTCGACTAGCCCCTTTGTCTTGTAAACTCTGACTCTCACTGTAAAAAAAGACTACTTAAATTTGGGTCTCCAATAAAAAAATTGTTTCAGGAATACAATATATGTTTATTACTTAAACGCTATTTTTCTTTAGTGGAGAATAATATTTGAGTAGACACCACGTTTAGTTATTAAACAGCATATTTATCAATTTTCATCTACCGAATATGCAAGATTTCATTAAAGGAAAATACGCACTCTTCGACTGGATTCAAACGTGCCCGCTGCTTGGCAAGAGAAACCGCCGTAACGAAAATTTTGATAATCCGTATGGATAATCCCAAGGAGGGTGAAATCCTGAGAGCTCAATGTTAAGTCAGAGCGAATAATTTAATTTAAAGAAAAACAGACCACTTAAAGGCTCCATTAGTTATAATTTATTTCACCAGAGAATTTTTATTTTTCTCTGGATTTTCAGATTTCACTTTCAAAGGTGAAACGTAAAATGAATTTAAAATTTACACATTTGACGGGCAGAATTAAGCTTATGTCAACTTATATAAGCTTAATACTGCCCGTCAAAAGTGTAAAATTTAAATTCATTTTTCGTTTCGCCTTTGAAAGTGAAGTCTGAAGATCCAAAGAAAAAGAAAATTCTCTGGTGAAATAAATTATTAAATTATAACTAATGGAGCCTTAAAGTCGTCTGCTTTTTTTAAATTTATATATATATATATATATATATATATATATATATATATATATATATATATATATCATCCGAATCTCGCATAGACAAATATCCTTAACAGATCGTTACGTCCTAAAAAAAACAAGATTTAATTACTTACTACAAACACCTGCTTTTATCGAAGAAAACCCAGATTTTCTCTGTGCCGCTTTTTTCTTTTTGTCTGTCTAGGTCTCTTTCTCTCTCTCCCCACTCACTCTCTTTGTTTTTGTTTTACCTTCTATGTACCTCTCTCTTTCTGTTTTCCATCTCTGTGTTGCATTTTTCTTTCTCTAACTCTCTATTTCTGTTTTATTCTCTCTCTATCTCTCTGTTTTTATTTCTATTTCTATCTCGGACTCTCAACACAGTCTCGCTTTAATAGGATTATCGTGTCACATTTTTATTTTGGGCGCTCAACACAGTCTGCGTTTAGTATGATTTTTGATTATAAGAACATCAGTTGTTTTTATTAAATTATAAAATGATTATAATTATTATAGAAAGATTTTAATTTCAAAAGGTCAGTTACAGTTCAACGGTGGTATTTTTCCTCAACGGGTCACGAAAAAGGATTTAACCCCTTGGTACAAACAACTGCTTTCATCTAGAATGAGCCACATTCAACCACTCGCTTTTCTTCTACTTTCTTTTTCGCCCTATGTTTATTTCTTTCTTTCTTTCTCCTATCTCTCTCTCTCTCTTTACGGTTTATTCTCTATGTCTCACTTTTTTCCGTTTTCCTTTCGGACGCTCAACACAGTCTGGGTTTAATACGTTTATCATGATACATACCATCTATAGGTAGGGAGAAGCGTATTTATTTATAGATTATTGTTATTATTGCAATAGATTTTATTTATAAAATTTTTTACTTCTTTTCGTTTTGCAATGAATTAATGATTCACAAGCTATTGCTTATCTATCTTCTTCCAGGGGAAATAGTCTTTTTTAATTTTTTTTTTCATCTTGCCTATTTTTTTTTTTTTTGCCCGCTATCGTTGGGCAGCTCAGATGCCCTAGGTAATCAATCCGCAGAAAATTGCTTTCCTCACCTCCTAACTCGCCCAAATAAATGAATAAATAAAAATAAAGCTGATAAATAAATATGAGAAAAGGACCCCATCCCTACCCAACCGTTGCAATGCTTATGGGCCTCGTTCCTAAAGATCCCCTAATTCACCCCGTCCCTATAACAATGCCAACCTCAGAGGTCATCAAATAGAGCCAGATTTTGTCAGATCAAATGATCGTTTAAGTCTTTAGAAATTCGATTAATTTTGGGATTTTAGTATTGTCGATTCGACTTCCGATTGTATAGAATCACTTCTGGTCTGTTATGTGGGTTTTCTAAATCTGTTAAGCTACATTGCACCCACCCCAATCCGAAAATCTACGTGTATGTTGTTTAGTAATGTCTGTCAGTGGTAGTGTTTGTGGGGGTGATTAGAAAGTGTGAGAAATTGTGTCGGAGAAGATGTAAGAAAAGGCGTACATGCCGTTGGTTAAAAGTGAAAGAGCTATTAGTTTGAGAATATGAAAAAAAAAAGGAGAAAAAAGGGGAAAAAAGCAATTATATTTTGGAAATAGATATAGAAAGAAGGGGAGGATCGAGGTGAGTCAGAATGAATGAAGAAGAAATTTGAGAGGGTCAGTGAAAGAAAAAACTCAAGATGAAAGAGGATTTAATGTGAAATAAGAGTGAATGGATAGAAAGAAAGAGGGAAGAACAAAAAAAGCGAAAAGATAGGTAGATAGATAGATAGATAGATAGATAGATAGATAGATAGATAGAAAGAAAGAAAGAAAGCGACGTGTAAATCTCTAGAGTGCAGGATTAAATACAGTGAGGAAAAAGAGAAGGTGATGGAGAGAGAGAAAGAAAAATTGAAAATAGTACATGTTAAACACAAGAAATATTTAACCCTAGTAAGAGAAATCAGTTGTAAGAAAGAAAGATAGATAGAAAGAAAGATAGATAGATAGATAGATAGATAGATAGATAGATAGAAAGAAAGAAAGAAAGAAAGAAAGAAAGAAAGAAAGAAAGAAAATAAAGCAAGAATGGAAGCAAATCGAGAATCTGTAGTGTAGAGGATTCAATATAGCGAAAAAAGGGAAGAAAGATTGAAAGAACATGAATATTAAGCACGAGACACGTTTAAGCGTAGCAAGCGAAGCCAGTGGTAAGAAATCATAGAAAAGAAAGAAAGAAACAAAGAAAGAAACAAAGAAAGAAATGATAGAAAAGATAGAAAGAAAGAAAGAAACAAAGAAAGTGAGTCGAAAATACAGGATTAAATACAGTGAGGAAAAAGAGAAAAGTGATGGAAAAAGAGAAAGAAAGATTGAAAATAGTACTTGTTAAACACAAGACATATCTAAACCTAGCAAGAGAAATCAGTTGTAAGAAAGAAAGAAAGAAAGAAAGAAAGAAAGAAAGAAAGAAAGAAAGAAAGAAAGAAAATAAAGCAAGAAGGAAAGCGAATCGAGAATCTGTAGGGTAGATGATTCAATATAGCGAAAAAAGGGAAGAAAGATTGAAAGAACGTGAAACAAAGAAAGAAAGAAACAAACAAAGAAAGAAAGAAACAAAGAAAGAAAGCGAGTCGAAAATCTCTACAGTACAGGATTAAATACAGTGAGGAAAAAGATAAGGTGATGGGAAGAGAGAAAGAAAGATTGAAAAAGTAAATGTTAAACACTAGAGATATTTAACTGTAATAGGAGAAAGCAGCTGTAAGAAAGAAAGAAAGAAAGAAAGAAAGAAAGAAAGAAAGAAAGAAAGAGAAGAAAGAAAGAAAAAAGAAAAAAGAAAGAAATAAAGAAAAAGGAAAGAAAATAAAGCAAGAAGGAAGGCGAATCGAGAATCTGTAGGGTAGAGGATTCAAAAAAAAAAAAAAAAGAAAAAGGGAAGGTGATATAAGGAGAGAAAGAAAGATTAAAAGAAAGTGAATTTAATCACCAGACATTTAAGTGTAGGAAGCGAAAGCAGTAGAAAAGAAAGAAAGAAAGAAAGAAAGAAAGAAAGAAAGAAAGAAAGAAAGAAAGAAACGATAGAAAGAAGGAAAGCGAGTCGGAAATCTCTACAATACATGATTAAATACAGTGAGGAAAAAGGGAATGTGATGGAAAGAGAGAAAGAAAGATTGAAACAGTAAATGTTAAACACTAGACATATTTAACCGTAATAGGAGAAAGCAGTTGTAAGAAAGAAAGAAATAAACAGAAAGAAAGAAAGAAAGAAAAAAAGAAAGAAAATAAATCAAGAAGGAAATCGAATCGACAATCTGTATGGTAGAGGATTCAATATAGCGAATAAAAAGGAAGATGATAGAAAGAGAGGAAGAAATATTGAAAGAAAGTAAAGTTTAAGCACTAGACACAACTAGCAAGCGAAAGCAGTGGTAAGAAAGAAAGAGGTAAAGAAATAAAGAAAGAAATAAAGAAAGAAAGAAAGAATGAAAGAACAGAGGAAAGAAAGAAAAGAAGAAGCAAAAAGAAAGATTGGAACAAGAAAGAGATGATATAAATTTTAAAAAGAGGTTTTCTCATTTATTCCCTCGTGAAGACTGAAGTAAAAGTAAAAGAGAGAGAAAATTCTGAATGAAAAACAAATAAATTCCGATAAAAAATAAAATGAATGAGAAGAGATATATATGGAAAGAGAGAATGAAAAAGAGAAAAAAATATAGAAGGTCACTTTTTAGAATATTTGAAAGAAACATGAATTGTCAGGGAAAGACAAATTCAAGATTGTATAAAAAACGAAATAAAAAAAAATGATTCTTCAAATTTGTGCAAGAAAAAGGTAGGAAGTAGAAATGTGTGAAAGAAAGCAAGCAAGAAAGAAAGAAAGAAAGCAAGAAATGATGACGACGGACATGGTAAAGTATTATAGTTAATATCAAATAAGAAACAAAAGAAACAGCTTAGAAATTAAAAGAAGCGTAGACGGATTGCCAAAATTTCTGTATTGAAGTAAAATTGAGTGAAAAGAAAAGAAAGAAAGAAAGAAAGAAAGAAAGAAAGAAAGAGACAAACAAACAAAAAATGAAAATATCGAAAGCGAAGAAGTAAGAAAAATCGAAAAAAATAAAGAAAGAAAGTGTTGAAAGTGACCAATAAATAAAGAAATTATCAAAGAAATATCGGAAGCGAAGATTAAATAAATAATGAAAGAAATATCAAGGATGAAATAGAAATAAAGAAGGAAATAAAATTTCGGAAGGGAAGAAGAAATAAATAAAATAAGAAAATATTGGAATCGAAGAAAGAAAGAAAGAAAAAAGAAAAGAAAAAGAAAAAATATCTGATGCGAAGAAGAAAGAAAGAAAGAAAGAAAGAAAGAAAGAAAGAAAGAAAGAAAGAATTGGGAACGAAATAGAAAGTAAGAAAATATCGGAAGCGAAGATGAAAGAAAGAATGAACGAATAAATGAAAGAAAGAAAAGATTTATTTGTTTGAAATGACGAAGAAAGATAGAATTAAAAGAAAGAAAGAAAGAAAGAAAGAAAGAAAGAAAGAAAGAAAGAAAGAAAGAAAGAAAGACAAATACAGGTACCGGCACCCAGTAATGTGTGAAATTTGCAAAGAATTGTGGGAAGGATGAAATCTACGAAAGAAAAAAATTAATAGAAAATATCGAAAATAAAGAAAAAAAAAATTGAAACTAAGATATAGGATTGAATTTAATTGAAAAACTTTGACAAAAGTAGAAATTGAACGACAGAGACGAAAAAAAAAAACCAGATAAAGAAAGAAAGCACGAATGAATGAAGGTGATAGTAAAAGCGAAAAACAAAGATTCTAGATCGGAAATCTTGACGTTATCAGATTTCAAAAGCCCCAAACCAAAAGTGGCTAAGCTGTCATTAGAGAGGCAGCAAACAATTGACTTAGATTCTTTAGGGGTTGTGCAAGTGGTGGATGGCGAGAAAGATTGATGGGGTGGGACTCGGGCTATGCAAGGGAGTATGGAAAAGGGCGGTGTTATTTAGTGGGTAGGGAACTGGTCGAATCACTGAATGGAAATCAGTAATGAACATCTGGGGTGAACGAAGACACGTTTGATATGTAATAACAGAAAGACAAACAAAGGTGAAAGGAAGAGGCGGATAGGGTAAAAAGAGAAACAGAAGAAAGAAAGAAAGAAAGAAAGAAAGAAAGGAAAAGAGGACAGGAAGTAGAGAAAGAGGGTACATATAAAGATAATGAAGAGCAACTAAGAAATAGAGATAGAAAGAGAAAGGTCTCGAGAGAACTTAAAAATATAATAGAAAACGGAAAGAAAGAAAATATCTGATGCGAAAAAAAAAAGAAAGAATTAAAAGAAAGAAAGAAAGAAAGAAAGAACATATCTGATGCGAAGAAAAACGAAAGAATTAAAAGAAAGAAAGAAAGAAAGAAAATATCTGATGCGAAGAAAAACGAAAGAATTAAAAGAAAGAAAGAAAAAGAAAGAAAGAAAATATCTGATGCAAAGAAAAACGAAAGAATTAAAAGAAAGAAAGAAAGAAAATATCTGATGCGAAGAAAAACGAAAGAATTAAAAGAAAGAAAGAAAGAAAGAAAGAAAATATCTGATGCGAAAAAAAAAGAAAGAATTATAAGAAAGAAAGAAAGAAAGAAAATATCTGATTTGAAGAAAAACGAAGAAATTAATAGAAAGAAAGAAAGAAAGAAAATATCTGATGCGAAGAAAAACGAAAGAATTAAAAGAAAGAAAGAAAGAAAGAAAGAAAATATCTGATGCGAAGAAAAACGAAAGAATTAAAAGAAAGAAAGAAAGAAAATATCTGATGCGAAGAAAAACGAAAGAATTAAAAGAAAGAAAGAAAGAAAGAAAGAAAATATCTGATGCGAAAAAAAGAAAGAATTAAAAGAAAGAAAGAAAGAAAATATCTGATGCGAAGAAAAACGAAAGAATTAAAAGAAAGAAAGAAAGAAAGAAAATATCTGATGCGAAGAAAAACGAAAGAATTAAAAGAAAGAAAGAAAGAAAGAAAATATCTGATGCGAAGAAAAACGAAAGAATTAAAAGAAAGAAAGAAAGAAAGAAAGAAAGAAAGAAAATATCTGATGCGAAGAAAAACGAAAGAATTAAAAGAAAGAAAGAAAATATCTGATGCGAAGAAAAACGAAAGAATTGAAAGAAAGAAAGAAAGAAAATATCTGATGCGAAGAAAAACGAAAGAATTAAAAGAAAGAAAGAAAATATCTGATGCGAAGAAAAACGAAAGAATTAAAAGAAAGAAAGAAAGAAAGAAAATATCTGATGCGAAAAAAAAGAAAGAATTAAAAGAAAGAAAGAAAGAAAGAAAATATCTGATGCGAAGAAAAACGAAAGAATTAAAAGAAAGAAAGAAAGAAAGAAAATATCTGATGCGAAAAAAAAGAAAGAATTAAAAGAAAGTAAGAAAGAAAATATCTGATGCGAAGAAAAAAGAAAGAATTAAAAGAAAGAAAGAAAGAAAGAAAATATCTGATGCGTAGAAAAACGAAAGTATTAAAAGAAAGAAAGAAAGAAAGAAAGAAAGAAAGAAAAAATATCTGATGCGAAAAAAAAGAAAGAATTAAAAGAAAGAAAGAAAGAAAGAAAATATCTGATGCGAAGAAAAAACGAAAAATTAAAAAAGAAAGAAAAAAAGAAAGAAAATATCTGATGCGAAGAAAAACGAAAATTAAAAAGAAAAAAAGAAAGAAAGAAAAAAAAAAATATCTGATGCGAAAAAAAAACAAAGAATTAAAAGAAAGAAAGAAAAAAAATATCTGATGCGAAGAAAAAAGAAATAATTAAAAGAAAAAAAAAAGAAAGAAAAAAAAATATCTGATGCGAAGAAAACGAAAAGAATTAAAAGAAAGAAAGAAAGAAAAGAAAAAATATCTGATGCGAAAAAAAAAAGAAAGAATTAAAAGAAAGAAAGAAAGAAAATATCTGATGCGAAGAAAAAGGAAAGAATTAAAAGAAAGAAAGAAAGAAAGAAAGAAAGAAAATATCTGATGCGAAAAAAAAAGAAAGAATTAAAAGAAAGAAAGAAAGAAAGAAAATATCTGATGCGAAAAAAAGAAAGAAATAAAAGAAAGAAAGAAAGAAAAGAAAATATCTGATGCGAAAAAAAGAAAGAATTAAAAGAAAGAAAAGAAAGAAAATATCTGATGCGAAAAAAAGAAAGAATTAAAAAAAGAAAGAAAAGAAAGAAAATATCTGATGCGAAAAAAAAGAAAGAATTAAAAAAAGAAAGAAAGAAAGAAAGAAAATATCTGATGCGAAAAAAAAGAAAGAATTAAAAAGAAAGAAAGAAAGAAAATATCTGATGCGAAAAAAAAAAAAGAATTAAAAGAAAGAAAGAAAGAAAGAAAAGAAAATATCTGATGCGAAAAAAGAAAGAATTAAAAGAAAGAAAGAAAGAAAGAAGAAAAATATCTGATGCGAAAAAAGAAAGAATTAAAAGAAAGAAAAAGAAAGAAAGAAAATATCTGATGCGAAAAAAGAAAGAATTAAAAGAAAGAAAGAAAATATCTGATGCGAAAAAAAAGAAAGAATTAAAAGAAAGAAAGAAAGAAAGAAAATATCTGATGCGAAAAAAAAAGAAAGAATTAAAAGAAAGAAAGAAAGAAAGAAAGAAAATATCTGATGCGAAAAAAAAGAAAGAATTAAAAGAAAGAAATAAAGAAAGAAAATATCTGATGCGAAAAATAAAGAAAGAATTAAAAGAAAGAAAGAAAGAAAGAAAGAAAATATCTGATGCGAAAAAAAGAAAGAATTAAAAGAAAGAAAGAAAGAAAATATCTGATGCGAAAAAAAAGAAAGAATTAAAAGAAAGAAAGAAAGAAAGAAAGAAAATATCTGATGCGAAAAAAAGAAAGAATTAAAAGAAAGAAAGAAAGAAAGAAAGAAAATATCTGATGCGAAAAAAAGAAAGAATTAAAAGAAAGAAAGAAAGAAAGAAAATATCTGATGCGAAAAAAAGAAAGAATTAAAAGAAAGAAAGAAAGAAAATATCTGATGCGAAAAAAAAAGAAAGAATTAAAAGAAAGAAAGAAAGAAAGAAAATATCTGATGCGAAAAAAAAGAAAGAATTAAAAGAAAGAAAGAAAGAAAGAAAGAAAGAAAATATCTGATGCGAAAAAAAAGAAAGAATTAAAAGAAAGAACGAAAGAAAGAAAGAAAATATCTGATGCGAAAAAAAAGAAAGAATTAAAAGAAAGAAAGAAAGAAAGAAAATATCTGATGCGAAAAAAAAAGAAAGAATTAAAAGAAAGAAAGAAAGAAAGAAAATATCTCATGCGAAAAAAAAGAAAGAATTAAAAGAAAGAAAGAAAGAAAGAAAGAAAGAAAATATCTGATGCGAAAAAAAAGAAAGAATTAAAAGAAAGAAAGAAAGAAAATATCTGATGCGAAGAAAAAAGAAAGAATTAAAAGAAAGAAAGAAAGAAAGAAAAAAATCGGGAGCGAAATAGAAAAAAAGAAAATATCCAAAGCGAAGAAGAAAGAAAGAAAGAAAGAAAGAAAGAAAGAAAGAAAGAAAAAATCGGGTGCGAAATAGAAAGAAAGAAAATATCGGAAGTGAAGAAAGAAAGAAAGAAAGAAAGAAAGAAAGAAAGAAAATATCAAAACCGAAGATGAAAGAAAGAAAGAAACGGAATCGAAAAAATAAAGAAAGAAAATATTGGAAGTGGCCAATAAAATAAATAAAGAAAGAAAGAAATATCAGGGGTGATGTAGAAATAAAGAAGGAATGGAAATTTCGGAAGGGAATAGGAAATAAATAAAATAAACAACTATTGGAATCAAAGAAAGAAAGTCCAAGACAAAAAGAAAAGAGAAGGTTATTCCAACACAAGGACAAATAAGGGAGTTAGCAAATATTCCAACAGTATGCCTTGAAAATAAGCATCTAAAAACTACCATTTAATCTGGGTTCGAACATTCACTACTCGAGGTGAAAAAATGCGCCACTCTTTCATACTCAATATCTCGCGTGCGTACAGACACATTCTCTATTTCTCATTCACACATACATTTACAAGTACAGGAACCTCGACATCGTGAAATGGTTAACAAGCTTGTCTAGCTAGTTCAATTACGACTGATTTATGGGTTCGATCCATACTTACTGCCTTGTGCCACATTTAAACTACGCTTATATATATATACTCAGTGAGTCAATTGTCTGCCTTGCGTGATACAAGCTTAGGCGATCATGTATCTTTCGATACATGACTGACGAGGCAGAGTTTTCCCGCAGAAGGTTACCATTTCTTTCTAGTGGGTTAGTTGCCATCCAAGGCTATAGAAACCAATCTGTCCTACTATTTACCCATAGTTGGGGGAAGAAGACGCGGATTCATACCTTTCCTAAGGTTATTAGCTCGTAAGTGAATGTAACGGATTCGAATGGAATTCGAACTCGGCTCTCCGATTCCTCAATCCCAGACACTATCCATTAATCCTACATGCACTTGTAACCCTGTATCTGGAGACGCTCGAGGGCGGTAGACAGGGTGAACCTCATTTAAAAGAAAACAAAAAAATATACACACACATATATAACAACAAAATCAACTATATATATATATATATATATATATATATATATATATATTTAAAAACAGTGTTCCATATAGAAGTAGAGCTTAAATTATAATTATTTAAAAAAAAAATGATTCCTTCGATACATAAGAGTTCTCATGTTTCAAAAACAAGAGCCAAAAATCTCAATATAATTGTTAAATTGAATTAAGTTGAATTCATGATAACTCTTATGTAGCAAAGGAATCATATTTTCAAAAATAATTATATATATATATATATATATATATATATATATATATATATATACAGAGTGGAAATAAAGTCAGTATACGGTTACTTACAGTAACAATTAATACAAAACAATTAATTAACAGTTCAGGAATGTATTATGAAAATGGTTATATATATATATATATATATATGAAATTAAAAAAAAAAACTTTAATTAATGTCACATAATAATTCATCCAGTCGAGAATAACAAAACTCAACAGAATACATTGGACGGCCATTTCGTCCTTTTGGGACTCATCGGCAACGCACATCCACTACCGAGAATCGAAGCCGGTCCGTTAGCCTCATATATTTGGTCTATCAGGCTTTGCAGACAAATAGGAAACTCACTAGAATCAATATAGCACAGCTACTCCTAATTCCGATATTTATACTCATCCAAATATACATAACCCACTGGAGTCTGCTTAATATATATATATATATATATATATATATATATATATATATATATATATATATATATATATAATAGATCCGTTGATATATTATCGGACTGATCCTAGTTATATTATTAAAAACTGATCCGCAAAAAGCTGGATGTATTTATTATAACAAAGCATATGTATTATTTTTTTACAAATTACCTCAACATAGGAATTGTCTATTTCAAGCTGGTCTTTGCAGCTATCATCAGTTTGTAAGTGTCTGTCTCGAAGCATTGTTTCGAGACAGACACAAAGGTGCTGATGATAGCTGCGTATAGACAAGCTTGAAATAAACTATTCCATATTGAGGTAATTTCTGTCTTTTATATATATATATATATATATATATATATATATATATATATATATATATATATATATATATATATACCATTCTGGATTTTGTTTTTTGATTTTCTGTCTTTTTTTTACAGTGAGAATCTTTTTGTTTGCGTATTATTTATTCGAACTGCTCGACAGTGTCATAACAAAGACACTGTGAGCTGACCTCGCCAGTGTAATAAAAGCAAGTTGCACTGGAGACATTAAAATTTGCAGACATTAGAAACAAAAATAGACGTAAGAACGTAAGAAGTCTAAAGTTTATGGATGTAGGAGAGGCTCAAATACTGGTTGTCTACAGTGTATGCCTAAACATTAGCCTACGATGAAAGCTCCGCTACGTAACTCTCCGAAAGATATCTTTGAGTCATTTTACGGAGGAGATCGTGAAGGATTCATATGTCTTGAAATACAGTATTGTTGAAGCTTAAATAAGCATGGAATAATACAACACAAAATGTACGTTAACAAAATGTATTGAAACAAAGAATAGGTACACAATATTTACAGTTAGTTTGGTATATTCTTGGGAAGACTGTTCCTGCATAATGGGTTGACTAAATCGCAGTCGGGCAGAGTCTCTGGATTCAATTTCTTAATCTCTACTATCTTCCCCGTCTTCCGGTACCAACCCATATTTATATGGTCGGTAGTCCGCTTATGTAAATTAGGTGTATCATACACAACAAGTATGTATCAAATAAATGTTTACATCAAACGTTTAAAGAATAAGTAATATAAAATACACGTCTGTCTATTATTCAATAATTCGAATTAAAATAAGCACAAATGCATAAGGATTTTTGCAGACGAGTGAAAACTTGAGCAGAATGAGTAAAGAAATAAAAAGATAAGAAGGTAATAAAATGGCGTAGAAAGAATGCTTAAAAAGTCCTTCAGCAAAAATGGTGATCAAAGGCAAAATGTGAGAAATGATGAAAATATATATATATATTGCAATTTTTGCTGTTATCATTGAATGTTTTTTACCAGAGCTCATATTGCAACTTTTTTGTTATCATGAGCACTGGTAAAAATGGTTGCTGAAGACATTAGGTTTATAATACCCAGAAATTCATACACATATGTCCTCAAGGACACATGGCACATGGATAAAAGCGTTGGTTAGATGCAGTGACAGGACCCAAAGAGTGTGAGTTCAATACCCGGTTAAGGCACATTCAGAGGGAAATTAACAGGAGATAACTGATAACTGATAACGTGGAACTAGAACAGTCTACCCCAGCGAGCGAAATAAAGGGTTCGGTTCGACTTTCCAACCACCTGAAGAAGCCCGGAGCGTATGGCGACAAAGATGAGGACAATAGTCCGAATAATGTAAATAATGTACATAATACCTCATCTCAGAAATATAGACGGATACAAAAGTGTCAACGAAAAGAATAATAAAAACTGAATAAAATTATTTAAAAAAAGTGGAAGGAAAATGAAAGGGTTGTTAAAATAAACAAAAAAATAATTGCCGTGTCTCTCACAAATGTTTGCACGCGTATGTGTTCACAAACGCGCACAAATACACACAAACACATACACAGAAATACATTGTATGATATTATGATCATATCTTTCCATAATGAATATATTTTATTCGCACACACTATAAACGATTTATAACACAAAAATGTTGTTAAAGTTGTTTATCCTTCAAAATATTGTATTTGGTTATATATTTGTAACCGTGTTACTGCTTCGTACGCTCTCTCTGACTCTCTCACGCACACAGACACACTAAAAATTATGTATATATAAATTAAGGATGATTTGAGATAATTAATTCATCGAGTCTAGAAGAAACCTCAACAGAATGCACTGGACGGCCGTTTCGTCCTATATATGGAACTTATCACAAGTGCACATCCACTACCGAGAATTGAAACGCGGATAGTTACATTGACAGGCAAACAAAATACCAAGTGTACTAAAGGTAGCGAACTAGACTCGATATTGCGCGGCTCGTTCACATATTCCGTGGTGGAACTCATCCAAGTTCCTTTACCCATAGGACTACCGAGAATTTAAACGCGAACAGTTATAATATGAGGCAAACGCCATACCAACTGTACAACCGAGGCCCGTTACTAGAGGTGGTATGACGTTTGCCTGTCAATGTAACTTTTCGGGTTTCAATTCTAGGTAGTGGGTGCGCACTGCTGATGTAATCCCAAATATAGGACGAAACGGCCGTCCAGTGCTTTCTGCATTCTGTTCAGATTTCTTCTAGACTCGGTGAATTAATATTAATCAGATATATATATATATATATATATATATATATATATATATATATATATATATATGTGTGTGTGTGTGATGTAATAGGAAAGAATAGTCAGATTGATGATCCAAAGTTCTTTAGTATTCTTTTTATTTTATTTTAAAAACAGTACTCTATACAGACATAGAGCTTAAAATTATAATTATTTTTTTAAGAATATGATTTTTAAAAATATGATTCCATCGTGACACAGAAATTACTATTTCGAAACTGGTCTACATATGTTAATATTTAATTTCAATATTAAACTTTAACTTTAGATTACCGTTTCATTCACAATCGATGTTTGGAATAACTCATGGAAGAAATATTTTACTCATTTATAGTTTGGAAATGGAGGTGTAGTCCGGGGTTTGTTTTTCATTATCAAGAGGTCTATGCGTTGATGAAA